CACACACAGCACAAGGAGCCACATTCTTGATGTGACACATCACTGCACCAGCAATGGTGACTTTCAGCTATCCTTCAAATGATTAATAGCTAAGGCAATGTACTTTTTTCATACTTTTTTTTCTCCCCACAGACTGGGTTGTCTGGTAAAATATAATTTCCATCAAATGGCTTAAAACCACCAGCTAACCAATGAAATCACGGAGATGCTAAAGGGTGTTTATGCATATCTAGACATAATTATAACCCAGTTATCAAACACATTTCACCAAAGAAAGCACCAAATCCCATTCTAGAAGTACAAATACGTGACTGGGGAGAAGAGGAAGACTGGTTTTGAACTTTTCTTCATGAGAGGCAGAATGAGCTCAACCCTTTACCAGCACCAAAAGCGCACACGTGAGTGTCTGTGTGTGAGAGAAAGGCTGTGACAGCCCCTGCAGTGGAAACAGCACCAGGGAGGCCTGAAACCACATCAAACACCAGAAAAAGAAGTCGTGGAGGAAACCAGTACACACAAACGAGTGTTTTTTTTCCATTGTAAGGCTCAGACCATGTGGCACAGGGTGCCCTGTACAGACAATTTCCCCGTGGTGAACTGCACGTGTGTGAACAGGCACAGCACAGCCAGTGGGAGCAATAAGCCCGTGGAAGGTTTGTTCTTAGCAAGTTTTGCTTCCAAGCTGATGGCATTTCTGCTGTCTCTGGCCCCTTCATGGGTGAACTGTGTGACAAAATCATCCTGGCTCCTTCTGTGCAGACTGGAGGGAGTTGTGGCTCCTGCTGGAAGCAGAAGGTGCAAGGGGTTGTTGGGTTATTGGTAAACCTTTCCTTGAGACCTAGAATCACAGAGTATCTCAAGCTGGAAGGGACCCACAAGGATTATCCCTCCCTACCCCTGAGCTATAATTACTTTTGGTTTTTTTTTTTTTTTCCCCTCCCTGGTGGAAAAGAGGGGCAAATAAAGATTTTTGTTCTGACCTAGGCGTTCCTGCTCTCTCCATTCTCCAGTAATGATTTAGGACTCGTTCAGTCACCTGAGCAACCCCTGCTCATCTGTATGGCACAAGAATGAAAGGCTGCAGAACGAGTCTCATAGTTAGACACTCCACAGGAAGATTAAACATTCTACAGAAGGACGAAGGAGTCCTCAGAAAAGGCTTCAAAGCTGCCTCGGTCACGTTTCTGTTGAAAAAGACTAAACAAAAGCGTCTCTCTCCCATGATATCTTGCCCAAAAAATCTTCCCAGCTACACAGCAATAAGTATAGATAACTGGAATTAAAATAAGGGAGTAGCATTTACTGACTTAATTTCCTGAATAGCCCTTTGTTAAGGGCTGTGTGAAACCTGCCAGTTAGATTAATCAATGATTTTGGAGGATCAACAGAATGGGCAGAAACACAAAGTAATTGTACATATTACTGTATCAGTAAAATTGTGGTCCTGTAATGTGACATTGTTTAAGTCAGTCTGGCACAGCCACACAAGCAATGTTTCATGTTTCACTGCAGATATCCTTAACATTAATCCATACCGTAACTAGCTGCAGCAAGAGAGAGGGGGGAAAAAAAAACCCCACCCGGTTTGGAGCTATCCTGTATCTCAGACAGGGTGATGTAACATAACATATGTTTTAAAATGATAAAGACTACCAAGAATAAGACACAGTTTCCAGAATAATATTCATACACGCCCAAACAAAAGCAAAATCCTGTAATAATTGAATAATTGCAGCTTTCCCTATAGAAGAAAAAGTTAAGGGGGGAAAAAAACCCCCAAATCCAGCCCAAACCAGCCCTTTTCAGTGGCTTAGCTGGTCAACACTCATACACAAAGCTCAGTGCTCTTCCCTAAAACCGAAGAATTAATCAGCATTATGTAAGAGATTTTTATAACACTCTAAAAATACATTGTGAATTCCTTTCCAGTGTCGGACTGAGAAGCTTTAAAGTACTGCCACCCCTCATCCCCTTTTGTAACAAAGGCTGGATCTTCATTTCTGATATTGGCAACTCGAATTCTGCCTCAGTGTTTGCGCCTCAAATCTCATTAATTACAGCGCTGGCCTCCTGAGATGCCACTGCTCCTGCTGAGAGCGGTGTTTGTGCTCGGAATGACTGGAGCAAGGGCAGGGGTGCGCGGGGCTTGGACGTGCATCACCTCCAGAGCAAGAATTTCTGACGCGCCCAACTTGGGCACACGGCTCGGGTGGTTTTCAGCCTGGATTTACCTCCTTTCTAAGGTAGCTTTTGCCATCGGGTTTTGTTGGTTCCTCCCAAGGCGGGGGTGGCATTCCCCGCAGCGTCCTCGCTCCCCTCTGTGCTCCGCTTTTCACACAAAATGGGATAAATAAGGGTTAGCGCCGTTTCTGCAATTTCCACCCAAGGATCTCCAAGCAAAATTACAAAGTCATCACCTGAATGTTAATGGTGGCTTGGGAGGCAGGCCTGTGAAGAGAATGAGTTTCAACACGTAACATTTTACATTTACCGGGGCCGTCCTGCTGGTGTCCCAGGGCCCTTCCCCTCCCTCCCCACGTTCATCCTGCTCTGCCCCAAATCACAATTCGATTTGCGAGCACACAACCCGTTTGGCGGTCCTTCAGGCCAAAATAAACCACAGGGATGCAAATAAATCACGTGAAAAACGGGAACAAAGCATTTTTAGCTGCGAAAGTCCCGTCCTGGGATGCCTATCCAAAGGACATTACAGCTATCTGACCATCACATCTTTAGGAAACACCTCGACATTGTTCTTCTCAAGAAGGAAAATTCTCCCCTTACAGCCCTGACGCAACACTGACACAGCCGCCTCCTGGAAATACCCCCCACCCTTAAACCACAAACAAATCAACCAAAACCACTGAGGCGAACAAAACGAGAAGTTTGGAGGATTGTCCTGCCCGGGAAGGATTTCGCCACCGCTATCAGTTCCGTGTGAAAGCCCTGCTGACGCCACGGGGGCAGAGCGGAGCCTTGGAGAGGAGTCACTCGTGTCTGATGGGCGAGCCCGGCCCTTCCCCAAGGGCAAGGAAACATTCGGGTCCAAGTTCTGCTCTGAGTGATCGGTACCCAAATCCCAGACTGACCAAGGATGTCCGCGCTCACTCCTTTCCTTTCCTCAGCAACCTTCTTCTTCACCCACAGCCCGAGCCCTCCTTTGTTCTGTGTTCTGGCTCTGTGTCTGTGCCCCTGTGTCCTGCTGTCCGTGCTCGCCCCGAGTGCCACCAGCCCAGGCCGCCACCTCAGCTCCGGGGCACGACGAGTGTGAGGATCACTGTGCCCCAACGCGGGCAAAACGTGTCCCTTTGGTCCTCCCTGCGGTGTTTTCTCAGTTCTCCCCCTGGTCTCATCCCCCTTTTAGCCCCCAAATTCACCGCGCACTGCGCTTTTACTTTGCGTCCTCGTTTTCGCATCCTTGGCTTCCTCATCCTTCATTCCCTCTGCCGGCTTCTCCTTCCCTTCCACTCACTCCTTCCTCCCTCTTTTTCCCCTTTCCCACTTTCTCCTCACACCATAACCCTCTTCCTCTGGTTTCCTGGGTGTAACTCGGGAGCAGGAGCCTCGGTCCCAACCAGGGCGAATGATGTCAGCCTGATTTACTTCTTTCCCTAAATCCACTCCAAGCACACTCTGTCGCTGTTAATAAAAAAAAATTAAATAATTATTTTTTTAAAAAAATCATATCATGGGGTGAAAGCCCAAGACAGCCAACTTTGTCACAGAACGGCTTTTGTTGCCGTGTGCTTTAATTTGATGAATTATTGCGGCGGGTTCCTAGAGCACACACATCCCACGCCGGGCAGGGAACTGCCACAAGCACCTCGGATCCTCCAGCCTCTCGCACTCCTGTTGTCTCTGCTACTCCCTCGCTAATTTGTTCCAGCCGCTCATTAATACTCTCCTAATCCTCCCCTCCCCAGTTTCACCTCACCAACCATTCCCTTCGCTCCGGCAGCTCAGAATCCAGAGGATGTTTTTTTCCCCTTGCAGCTCCAACAATGATAAACAGATGCTGGTGGTCTACGCCTGGCACAACTTCCCTGCCCGAATTTTGCTCGGGCTTTTCGTGGCCCTGCTTGTTCCCGACATTTGCCTGCCAACACGACGGGGACATAGATGTTGGGTGCATTTGACAAAAAAAAAAAAAAAAAAAAAGGGCTTGGCATTAAGCACTTAAAACATCAAAATACTGAAAGCCCTCCTCCCACGGGTCATACAGGGGAGTGGGTTAACAAGGTTAGCCGTAGTTTAAACACAGGCAGGCGTCAATATCTGCAAAATTCGGGACTGTGGTTGAGGAGGAAGAGGGGAAAAATTAAAAATTCCAGAGCTCCGGGGACTTAAAAAAAAAGAGAAATCATGTAACAAATGGCCCCAGTGGCTGCTCTCTGTCTCTCCCCTCTCTGCGGAGCACGCAATTATTGCCGTGTAACTAAAAAAAATAATAATAAAAAAACCCAACACATTTCCTTGAATTTTATTCAGACGGTGGGTGTTTTTTTATTTTTATTTTAGTTTTTTAATTTAATTAAAAAAAAAAAAAAATTAGCTACTCTAAGGCACGCTGCTCTGCTTCAGGAAATGTTTCCTCCCCACCACCATCCCGGTCCCGGCTCTCGCTCTCCGCCGCGGCTGGGGGGATGTCCGTTCCCCTGGGGGTGAGAGGTGTGAAGAGCCCCCCGTGGGTGCGCTCGGGGCCGGCTACGGGGCCCGGCTGCGGGAGCGGCGCGTCCTCCGGCGGGCTCCGGCGGGCCGGCGCTGCGCCCGCTCCGGCGCGGCCGGGCCAGTGCCGCGGCTCCGCGAGTCCGGTCCGCAGTTTGCGTCTCTCCGGCGCGCTCGGCGGCGCGGCGGCGGGGGGCGCGGCGGGCGCCGGGAACAGCCGGTTGTTTAAAATCCTTCTCGAACCGTTTCTAATTCCCCCTCGCGCGGGGGGGGGCGGGGCCGCGCCCGGCCGGATGCGCGCCCCGTCCATCACCGCGCCGGGGGCGGGCCCGGCCAATGGCGGGCGCGTGTGGCGCCCGTCACCGTGGCGACGGGGCCGGTCCCGGGGAGGCGGTGATGGGTTGACAGGTGCGTGACAGTCGGGAGCTTCTCCGCAGGCATGTACGGCAAAGGCAAGAGCAACAGCAGCGTCCCGTCCGACAGCCAGGCCCGCGAGAAGTGAGTGCCCGCCCGCCCCGCCGGCCCCGCGCGCGCGGCCCCCTCACAAACTTTGCGGCGCTCCCGCCGCCCGGCCCGCGGCACCGCCGGCTCGCTCGCTCCGGCTCCGAGGAGTCCCCGCGCCGGGACGCGGCGTCCGAGCTGCCGGGGGGGCGGCGGTGGTGTCCCCACGGCCCGCCCGGGACGCTGCCCGGCCGTGCCCGCCTGGCAGCCCGGCGGCGCAAGGTGCCGGGACCCCTCCGCTAACAAAGAGCCCGGGCAGGGCGCCGCGGACGCGTCCCAACTCGCCGCCTCGCAACTTTTGCCGCGGCCCCCCATTGTTCGCTCTCGGGGGGCTCCGCGGCCGCCCCGCCGCACAAAGGGGAGCGGGCACCGCGCCCCCCCGCCCGGGCTCCCGCCGCCTGCCCAAACTCATGCCGGTCTCTTGTTAATTTCTTTATTTCTGATTGCGCACGAGCCGCCCGGCCGAGCCGCGCTCCGGCGTCCTCCTGCCCGCTGCCCGACGGGGAGGGCTGGGGGTGCCCGCAAGCCGCGCACCGCCGGGGAAGCGGGGAGCGAAACCCGGGATTTGGGGAACCGACGGCGTCTCCTCAAGTTGTCCTGACTTGGCGTGACCGAGGCCGGTTTGGCACGGCGGGGCTGGAGGGGGAGGAAAAGCCCGTGCGAGGAGGAGGAGGGGGACGAAGAGTAGCGGAGGTGGGAAGGTTGGGGTAAGGCTGCTGAGGGTGTCCGGAGAGCTCCGTCCACAGACCAGGTTCGCACATCTCCCTTGCAAAAATCGCATCGCTCCAGCGCGGGTTCAGCACCGGGATCTGCGCTCCGGGCACGGCCGAGGAGTTTCCCTTCAGGCAGCTTGTCTTGAACCTTCACCTAAAAGTTTTCGGATTTTTTCGGTGTTTTTTTGGGGTGTTTTTCCTTTGTGTGTGTGGTGTGTGTGTGTTTAGGAATTTGGGGTTTGATGGTTTTATTTGGTTTTTTTTCATTCTTTAATATTTTTTTTTTTTAAAAAATCTTGGGTCAGTTCTTTTCGTGCGTTTTTATTTGTGGTTTTGTTTGGGGTTTTTTTGTTCGTTGGTTTTTTTTTGTGGGGTTTTTTGTTGTTTGTTTGTTTTGGTTTTTTTTAAATTTTTTTTAAAGACTTCCTAATTCCAGAGGCTGGCATGCACGCTTCCCTGCAACAGCAGCAGGCCAGGCATCTCCGTTTCTACAGGAGAGGGAGGTGGTAGGGGGAATTCAAGGCGTTTGACAATTTCACACCTAACTTTGCCACGGGAAAGTGGAGGGAGACGGAGGCAGCCCTGACGGGAAGCGTTAATTGCCGAGATGGAGCGGGAGACACAACTTGGGCTCTGAAATCTCATCAACTAGTGGCGCTTCTTAGTTCCAGTGGAGGGATAATTTTAAAAATAATTGCTTAACCGCCTAGTGGAAGCACTGTTTATTTGTCTTAGCGAAATTAGGGAATTAAACCATTTCCTCGTGCTACACGGTTGCTGGTGTTTGTCAATACACTCGGTAAATCACTGAAGGGCACAGTGGGATCTCACAGTGGGACTAAAAACAAATCCATAGGGCTGCTGTGCGTCGGCTCAGATGAAGATCATGTTGTTTTAATTCTGCCTTGCCAAAGCTACCCACTACAAGCCGCACAGACAAGTGCTCTGGTCGCGGAGCTGAAACTTTAAATGGTTTTCAGCCGTGTTCTTTTACTGTAGCTTATTTTTCTTCGGGGTTCATAAAGGTGCTGTGAAACACCTAATATTTCGTCCGTTCTGAAAACGCTTAATAATTTTCTGGGCAAGCTTGCCCTGCTGACTTACTGCCAAGTAGCAACTGCCCTCCTAAGTAAAGTTGTGAGGACCTGCTAGATGGTGCTGTTCGATTTAAATACACGTTGTCTCCCACTTGGAGCTAACAGCTGGAGATGTGGGCTCCTCACGTGTAAATTATTTTATGCAAAACACCGAAATGGTTTGTCTTTAGATCGTGGACCTGACAGCTCAGAAACTTCGTGACCGCATCTACTTACAATTGAACTCAGCTGGGAGTTAGAAGCATCCTCTTTCTCCCCCCTCCTCCTTCCTCCAGTGGGGAAAAAAAAGAAAAAATAAAAGAGCTTCGAGACTCGCTTTATGATGTAGAATACCATTAGGTATAGTCTACGTTCAAGTTTTTTTGGTATTTAATCTGTTAAAATTTCTTCTTTCTGATCAGATCACATCCTTGCCATTTCCATATGCTTTCTTCCTGACATCCAAAAAACTGTGATTGAATTTGTTTTTTCCTCTTAGGACATTGTTACACAGCCATGCAATGCTTGTCCCAAGGTAATGCATGAGTCTGTGTCCCGCTCTGAAAGAAGCGACCGTCCAATTACATATCTCTACAAAAATATAGCTCTGACTGCTGCTTGAGATTGTGCTATTTTGGAAACCACAGAGAAAAATACATATGTTTGACTGATACAATAAGTACTTATTTAATCAGGAAGAGTGGGATTGTAATTATGTTTAATATCAAAGTTTTTAGAACAGAATATTCAACTGAATGCTGGCGTGTCTCCTCAAGATTTTAAGTGCCTGAAATACGTAGCCAATAACCAATCTCCAAAATACACTTCTAATAATTGAGGAAATAATTTTAAAAAAAAAAAAAAAAA